TGCTGCTGTTCATATATTATATTCAGAGACACATCACTTGTTATGTATTTATCATCTTCTTGAGAATATAAAAAAGAAAGCAAAGGCAAAGCTTCAGGATGATGCAATAAAGCAGTTTGTTGAGGATTTTTGTAGTATGTGTAATAGTTGCAACCAAGAGCAATTCAAATTAAGGTATAATTATATGTTGACAAAATACAAATCATGTTGTTTATATCTTGAAAAGCTTTATAATAATCATGATTTGTGATCAAGATATTCCATAGTTAAGGTGTTTATAGCAGGGATAGAATCTATATAGCATGTTGAATCTATTATTGGTGTCATTAAAAAACATGTTGATCATAGAACCTTATTAAAAGAATTAGTCACTGTTATTGAACAAGAGTTAGAAAAGGAAGCACAATATACTAGAATTAAGGATTATTATGGCTCTAATCTATCTGTTGGTCTTATATCAACTTACAATACTATATTCAAAGATGTTAATTCTGTATTAAGTGCTAATTTAGTACCTATTCTATTATCTCTTCAAAGGGTATAGATGAAACAAGCTTTATTATATTAAGGAACTTTGACTTCAATTGACCAAGTTAAAGAATGTGATATTAATAATAACAATATAATTGAATGACTATATGATGCACCTCAAATTTGTTTAGCAGAACTCATGATCAGTATATCATCTGATGCCATCAAGGAACTCTGAGAGGTTTCATATATTGCGTCAGCTTCAAAGCTACAGTATATTATTATTCTTAATGATTCAATGTTGCTTTGCACTTATATGTATGTCATAAATTAAGAAATATTATGTCGATATTAGTATTGTGTATTTATTCAATTAAGCAATGCAATGTTTTATTTATCACTTTTGCATACCCATTGATTTGAATCATCACCACCCAATATAGCCACTTTTGTTACAGTTTCTCAAGGGATTAAAAGTGCTACATCAATGCTGTTATATTATATTAATTAATTAAGAACTTGTGTATATACACTAGTTATTAAGAATCATGTTAACAAGAAAGTTCAATTTGGCACTATGATATCTTTGGCTAAAACCAGCACTCAAATTGTGGTATCTGAAGATGTTACTGAAGAACTAACTGGTCTTTTGCAATTTATCATAAAGTATCATTGTAATACAAGACTGGGCATAAAAGATACATTATCATTATCAAACATTATGCTACAAGAGTCTTCTGTTGCAGCCATAGTCATAGAATCTACACCCAATCTTGTGCCAGCATTTTCTACTACTACTCAAATAACACAACAACCTTTAGAAAATCTTTCTGTAGTATCTAACCCGGAGTACTATAAGCCAAAAGGTTGGCCTCCCAAATGATTAAAAGCAAATATTAAGAATTTTTTAAGATCTTTTAATAAGTCAGACAATACTATACTTAAAACGTGCAGTTATTGTTCTGATAAAGATCATAATATTCATAGGTGTCCAAAGCATAAATCTGATTTGAATAACAAAGAGAATTGCTAGTGCTAGAGTAAGGTTTGTAATTAGTGTATGGTTAGAATTTGGAGTAAGATATTTGTAGTTAGTATTATTCACTACTAGTTAGAATTGGAGATATGGAGTTAGAGATTTGAAATTTATTATTAATTGCTTTGATTATGCTTATTGTTGATTGCACTTATTATTAGTTATTGATGGATCTTTAATGTTTGTACAATGGAACTAATGAAAATATTTTTTTTTATTGAATGTGTAATTAGCAAGAGCGGCTTCTAAAAATTCAGGTTATATGATTTACACTATTGTAGCAGTAGCAGTAACATCTAGCATTTATTATCAACAATGGTGTTTATCATATAATTCGAATTTTAGAGGCAGTCATGGTTAATTCTTCAACGATAGCTTGTTTGCCAATTGTTTTATTTTCTATTGCTTATGGAGCAGACAAACTATTTATTATTTATTATATGCTACTAATAATTTTATAGCATTTGCAGCCATGTTTATTAATTATTTTACTAATGTTATAGTGAAAAGTTTCTGTAAAGTAACATAAAATCGTGATAGAATTCTTTATTATAAAATATAAAGCAAACTTATATTTAATGTTACTAGGTTAAATAATATATATTTATTATAATATATAATGTATATATATTGATCACATGATTTATATATTTTGTAATACTAGTGATAATCATCACTAG